AATCAAAACCAGAATTTTACATGTTGGTTTGCTTAGAAATCCTTGTTGCTAAGAGATATGATCTAATTAACATTTAACACATTATATGTTCTTTTGACATGTGATAATTAACATTTAACACACTATATGCTCTTTTGACTGTAGATAATACTTAAGAAACACATTTGTGCCTTCAAAGTTGTATGGGATTTGTGTTGCTTTATACTTGAATTCTTGAAGAAAAAATAAAGATTAAAATTAAAAATTATACATATTGATCAGCGTATACACTTTTATATCCAAAATATATGCATTGTGGATACGTATTAGCGAAATATCCAAAATTTTATTATTATAGAATACGTATGGTGTGTATTCGATGCGTATATGACCAGTATAGTATCTAATTTGTGTTAACTTTGATCAAACACAGAAGAGAAAAGAAGAAAATAAAAAACACCCGTTTATGTTTCAACAACTTAACCTAAGATACATAATAGAGGCCCTTGTATATAGGTCGGTCAAAATCCGATATGACATGATTAACTGACACGAATCGATATAAATTAAGTGGATTTGGGTGAGATTTTAATGGGTTTAGGTGGTAAACGGGTTGACCCGCCAAATACGTTTAAATAAATGGGTCATGTTTAGGTGAGACCAGTCAACCCATTTAAATAAAATTCATATAATAATAAATTAATAATTATTTTAAAAAATTAGTTAGATTTTTTTTTTTAGTGACATCCACAAAAAATATATAAACCATCTAAAATTGTTAAATTGTTAGTTTTATAAAGTTATATAGCATTTTTAAACAAATGGGTCTAATGGGTGGTTTACCATATTAACCCGACCCTACCCAACACAAGTCGTTTAAAACTAAATGGGTTAAACTAGTCGTGTCTTATTATCCGTTTATTAAACGGTTCGTGTTCGTATTCAGGTTTTTACCTGTTTATTAAACGTGTTGTGTATGTATTTATATGTTTTTCACTCGTCACCCGTTTAGCCAAACACGTAATCATTTAACCCGACACAATTGATACCCTTATTTATATAGTAGGACAACACAAGATAAAGTGAATGATTACACTATCCCTAATACTAATATGTTAAATTACTTTTAACACACTCTCTCAAACTTATGATATAGTAGTAAAAAACATTAAGAGTTTGCCAAAAAAAAAACGAAAGCGCAGTATGATCTGAGATTTCGTAAAGAAATCTGCCAACTGCATTGTAGAAGGGAGAAAGGGGAGTGAGATGGTGGCTAGATGAAGATGATGGCATAAAAAGTGGCAATCAATCTCAATATGTTTTATATGCTAGAGGAAGATAGAATTGTGTTTGAATAGCACAAGTGTTGTCACAATACATTGGGGTAGGAGTAGACAGAGATTCCAAGATCAACTAGCAGTCATCTTAACCAGACTATCTTAGCTGTGGTAGATTTCATAGCACAGTACTCAGCTTTAGCCAACGAACGAGCCACAACAGTTTGTTTCTTACTTTTTCAAGAAATGAGAGAATCACTATGAAAAAGATAGAAATCAATAGTACACTTTCGATCCATAGAGTCACTAGCTCAGCCAGCATTTGAATAACCTCTGAGTGCCATAAATGAGGAGGAAGAGAATAGAATACTCTGATGAAGAATACTCCGAAGATACCGAAAAATACAAAGTACATCAGCCGAGTGAACAGTGGTAGAAGAGGTAACAAACTGACTAACAACATAAACAATATAAGAGATATCTAGTCAAATTATTGTAAGATATACCAAACTCCCAACGGTAAAGGGTAGGATCAAGCAAGAGAGTATCATCAAAGGAAGAATATCGAACACTGAGCTCTAAGGGGGTGTCAACTGTTCGATTATCTGATAAACGAGCTCATTGAATAATATCCGATGCATATTTGGATTGAAAGATAAGATAATCTTTGGGAGAAGAAACAACCTCAATCCCTAAGAAATATCGGAGCTGACCTAAATCTTTTATCTCAAAGTGATCTTGCAACTGATTTTTCAATAATTGTATGCCAACAGTGTCATCACCTATAATATTCATATCATCCACATAAAGTAATAGAACAATGGAACCTGAGGAGCTGGATCGTAAAAAAAGAGCAAAATTTTGATTACTGACACGAAAATTCAAGTCACAAATGACCGAAGAAAACTTAGCAAACTATGCCCTTGAAGCCTATTTAAGACCATATAATGAGAGTTTGCACCATTTGACTAGGGCTATGAGGTAATCTAGGAGGAGGAGACATAAAGACTTATTCAATTAAATTTCTATTAATAAGGACATTTTTCACACCCATCTGAGAGAGACTCCATCGATGAATAATAACTATTGCAATCACAATGCGAATAGTGGTCTTAGCAACAGGAGCAAATGTCTCCTCAAAGTCAATGTCATACTCTTGAGCAAATCCCTTTGTTATTAGTCGTGCTTTGTATCGTTCCATAGAACTATTAGATTTGGTCTTAATTTTATTGACCCATTTATAACCAACAACATGCTTCCTAGAGAATAATTACACCAACTCCCAAGTACCAGTTTTATGTAAAGTAGTAAACTCTTCATCTATAGCCCGTTTCCAAAGAGGATAAAGATCAATCTCTTTATAGGAGTTTGGTTCGAAAAAAGTGTATAGAAGCTAAGAAAGAAAAAAAGTAGTAGAATAACAAGAGTTAGAGAAACTAAACCGATTTAGACATTTACGAGGTCACTGAGGATAGCGTAATATGATCCATATTCTCAACACCTGATTGAGTGACAGTAAAGGAGGGAGGCGTCTCATCTGTATAGGAGACAATTGAAGTCGTGCGAGCGTAAGTATGTACAATAGGGGGATGAGTGACTGGTAAATTAGAAAAGCAAGGCACATCAGAAATAATCATATCCCCAGTATAAGTGTCAAACGGAACATCAATCAGAAATGGATCACTATAAATGAGATCAGACTTATGCAAATGTGAAAAACTAGATGGAATTGAAAAGAATAGAATATGCTCTATGAAAACAATATGATGAGAGACATATAGTTGGTGTGTGACAAGATTATAACAATGATATTCTTTTTGATCCTCATCATAACTAAGAAAAACACAAAGAGTTGAATGAGCAGAAAGTTTAGTACAAAGCACACTAGGAAGTAAGACAAAATAAGTGCATCCAAATACATGTAAAGAGATAACTAGGTGGCTTACCACATAGTTTTTCAAATGTAGAGATTCTAGAGGTGATGATAGTGAGAATGCAATTAATTAGATAAATTGCAGTAAGAAATGTTTCTCCCCAGAAAGAACTTGGGATATTTGCGGACAACAAGAGAGAGCTCGTTGTCTCCATAATATGTTGGTGTTTGCGCTCGACTACACTATTTTGTTCAGATGTGTCGGTACCGGAAGATTGACAAAGAGTGTCATCCAATTTCAATAGCTCATGAACGAAATTGAAAGAACATTCTCTTCCTTGGTCACATCGAAAATATTTAATAATGGAGGAATATTGAGTATATATTATAACACGAAAGAAATTGAAAAAATACCTTGTATATTCATCAATGAAAGAGACATAATATTTGGACCCTCCTTTTTGTGAGAATAGGAGTAGGTCCCCCATACATTAGAATGAATTAAATCAAAATGAGCAAGATAGTAGAACTTTTATTAAAAGGTAATGCAGTAAATTTAGCTAACTTGCATCCACTGCAACTGGAAATGTCATGACATTCTAAGTTGCCCAAACTACTAGTAGAGGCTAAAAATTTTAAACGAGAATGAGAAAACATAACTAAGACGAGAATGCCACAAATAAAAATTAGAAGACTGTGGATTCAAATGAAAAGAGGACAAATCAATAGTAGAATCAACAAAGTCTGGAATATGCAACTCATCCAACACATATAATCCTCCATTTTTACTGTCTGTCTCAATCAATTTCTTAGAACGTGGATCTTGTACAACACAACTAGATAAAAAAAAAGTGGATTGAAAATTTAGAATCAAATAGCTGACTAACTGAAATCAAATTCAAGGTAAGTTGTGGAATATAATAAACATTAAGAAGTGTTAGTTGCGGAGAAATAATAGATCCAACACCAATCAAGGACATTTGAGTACCATTGGCTATAAGTAGAGATACAGACTGAGGGGAGAAGGTAGATGCAAATAAGGAAGAATCACTAGTCATGTGATGTATAGCACCCGAGTCAAAGACGCCGGCATTTTGAGCTATACCAGAAGGGTTTGAAGTGAACGAACTTATTGAAGGAGAAACTGAGAGAGTATTAGGCTGCTAAAAAAGCTTTTTGCAACCGATCAACAATCATAGTCAATTTTGAATTAATTAACTGATGAGAGTCGGAGTTTGCACTTGCCATACTTCTCAACTTTACTATGCAAATTGAAGCAGCCCAATAACACAGGATGCGTAGCCCACAATAGACAATCCACCACTTAGCCAATTAACAGCCTGAACCAGCAAACCAGAGTCAAAGACCGAACAACTAGGCAGCAACGAGAAAACCTGAGGCAAGAGCAAAAATCCAGCAAGCCAGCAGCAAAAGTCGAGTCCAACAGCAACAAAACAAAGCAACTGAACAATAGCCGAAGCCAAAACCCTGCACAAGTCCACAACCAGCGAGACCACTAATCAAACACAGAGAAGAGAAAAGAAGAAAAGAAAACACACCAGTCTGTGTTTCAATAATTTAACCTAAGATACATAATAGAGGCCCTTACATAGTAGGGCAACACAAGATAAAGTAAATGACTAAACTATCCCCAATACTAATATGCTAAATTACTCTTAACAATACGGTATATGATACTATAACAAATACAAAAACGTCGGCCTTAACGAAATCAACAACCCAAATTTGTTTCAATTTAAACCTCGATTTTGCATGATCACAGTCATCGCCCTTAACTGACCTGAGGAGGGTTCCTAGAGTTCCTTTCTGGCTTTTGCATGAATAATCAAATTCCTGGCTTCTTTGATTTTATGAGGAGGAAATTATGCTCTTCACTGCAAGCCTCCTTATTTGTAGCTTTTTCCCCACATTGTTTTCAGGGTCTATGGTTCAACAGGGATTCTCCCATGTGGATGTTGCCATGCATGACTGGTGATCTTATGAGTTCGCTACAAAAAAGAGGAATCTCAGCCATTCAGCAATTATTGGATCTTCCTGAGGTGAATTTACAGTCCGTTGTTGGAAGTTCAACTGCTTCTAGACTATATCAGGTGCGGATGGCTATCCTGAGATAGTAATTTGTTTGATTTCATGCATGTATTGAGATTGCCATGATCTGCATTTTTAGCACGTGTGAAAAAAGGAAAACAGTTCCCATGTTGAAAAATGTGTCAACTCCCACCAAAAAACATATTAACACAATGCTTTAAAAGATGAAGTTCTAGATACTATCTTGGAAACATGTATATGGATGGTTGCACAATCCTGGTTTTGAAGGTCACTCACCGACACTTCATAAGTTTTTATAATGACTTTGAGCTTGATAACTGAATTGGAGACCACATTTTCAAAAATATTTCCTCATATTTCCATCCTTGGAGGATAGACGTATGATCCTCCAGTAGATGGTACAAACCATAAAAAATTATTTTAGTTGCCTTTATATTAGTCCGTTGAATTCAAAATCTTAGTTCAGCACCTGTTGGCAGCATGAATTGTTGCCCATGCTTGCTTATTGTATTATGAGTGTGGATAACTTGAGTTGGTGGGAGTTTTAATGATCATGCCAAGACAAAACCCTTGGAAATCTAAACAGGTCATGATGATGAAGTGGAGCAGCCAACATCATCATATGGCCTCGAACACATAATCATGGAGCACTAATCTGCATGACAGAGGTGCAACACGTACCTTGTGTTAATGGGGCGCACTGGATTTGATCCCATGAACACAATATGACAATTTTGTGGGCTGCATGCATGAGGCAGCATCCTATTGACTGGCTGCACAAATAATGCAATTATCTCTGCAGTTTGTCTCTGTGTTATGCACATTGAAATATGCCTGGTCATCAAGAACCTGTGGCCTAAGAGCAAAATTGAAGATTGCGTAATGAGGACGGAGTCTTATTTATTGCTGGCATAAGTGAGATGCCCCGTAGTTTAGCATTCAATGATACTACTCAACTGAGCTTTGCTCCGACTATATTTGGTTGACTACATGAATCTTGTTTTGCTGTTGTACACTATCAAGAGTCATAGTTTCTTTTAAACGGTAAGCTATCATATTCTTTTATTCAAAATTAATTTAAGTCTATCTCTGTCCCTTACATTACCATTAATATGTGTCATATCACAGTATTTTTTCTCACTGGTGTAGTACTATTAACATGTCCAAATCACTTAAAATCGTTTTCCTCTTATTTATCTTCTACTGATACTATTTCTACTGCTTCGTGATGACACATGCATTCAATATGGAATCTCATAATTGAAATTGAGCAGGTGTACTTTGGTGATCTGAGAAATTAGCCTGTGTGCACGGGTGAGGTGAATTTTGCTCCCATAGCCTCCCAGGTTGTTAGGTTCTTGGTCATGCTTCCATGTTGCTTGTGTTTGGCTTGTAGGTTAGTTTGGAGCCAACTAAATTACAGCCAATTGGAATGGAAGCCCATTTAGGATAATCATTTTCATTGTTTAATTTTTCGTGGATGATTTTGTGGACTTCTTGTGTGCTCGGTTTCTAGCTGACAAGAGTATGGATATACTAAAGGGTAGTTAAATCAAAGCTGTTAAGAAGAACAGAAATTTCAAAAGATATTAGGGAAGCATGCTGACGTCTGAAATTATTTTTTTGCATTAAAACCTTTAGAAATATTGAAATATACATTTGTAAACCATCTAAGACTCGTTTATGGGCACTCTTCAATCATATAGGCTACATATGCATTTCCTAAGAAGTACAAAAGATGCATGGGTTTCCTCCTTTCTAGATGGGCATCATACTGATTCATTAATTTTGAGTGTCTGCTTTTTTCATTTTCTCAGGATCTGCGGTATTTTCCTAAGGTTCAAGTGAGACTGAAGATTCAGAGGAGGGATCCTGACAGTGGCAAGGTTTCCAGTTTAAATATTAGATTGGAGAAAACCAAATCAAACTCCCAGAAAAAAACATCGAGAGCCTTTGCCCCTCGATTCCCAAAGGTTAAAAAAATTCACCTTTCGCTAGTTTCTGGCCTATACCTCAACTAAGTAAGACATTTTTTCTCTTTTACAGGTAAAAGACGAAGCATGGTGGTTGGTTCTTGGTAACACCTCCACGTCTGAACTATTTGCCCTGAAGAGAGTTTCTTTTGCAGACCGTTTGATCACCCACATGGACTTACCATCAACTCCAGTTACTGTCCAGGTCAGTACAGATGTGCTTTTTTCCAAATAATATATTTTTTGTTCCCGCCATCAGCTAGCATTAGAGTACACCTTTGTTATGGTGGAATTTGACATTGGTCTGTTCATGAAAAGGGTAATGGAGAGGGCAATATAAATTATTGGAAACTGGTCGAGAATGGAACTTTTATCTGTTACCAGTTTTCAATTAGTCAGACCATGTAAATGCTTCAGCACTTCAGTTTAATAACATTGCACTTGCCTTTCATATGACACCTCAATGTCGTTTTGCTTCTTTAACTGGAGACTATTCTTTGACCAGGGAATGAAGCTGATTCTAATATCAGATTGCTATCTTGGGTTTGAACACGAATACTCCCTCGAAGAACTACCTGAACCTCAGTAAATGGAAGCAGGAGCCAAGAAATTGGAGCCAAAGTACATCAATCACGAGTTCTCGGAGTGTAAAAAGCTTCTGCCCGCATTACCACCAGACTGCTAAAAGTACTGCTTGAATGTCCTTATATACCGAGTGTTTTAGTCTCTCTTTTTCTTTTTCCCTAACAACTCTTTCTCCTTTGACCACAGTTTACCCTCAAGTGGACACGCTTCTCAATTTTTTGCCAGCAATTCATAAATATATAGGTTAATGGCATAAATATATCTGTTTATTACAATGGATGCTAAATGATCGCTCTGCTCCGACTGTTTACAATCTGCATTAATCAATGTCAGGTCATTGGATTGAACCATGTGTGCGCACACAAGCTTCCCTGAATTTATTAGAATACCACTGAACGGGACTTCATAGGAGTATCCCTTGAGGGGGTGTTTGTTTCGCTGGATTAGTGGTGATTGGGTGGGGGGATTGGATTAAAAATGTTCTAGTGTCCAGATATCCTTCATTTGGATATGTATAGTGAGATGGGATATTCGTTGGGCTTCAAATACCGGCCCTATGAAATGGTAGGAAATATTCCTTCTGAACCAGATATTTATAACCCGCTGGGTGAGTGAGATTAAAATTCACTGAGTTTACCAAAATACTTTGCTTTTAAAACTTATATATCAAAATACTGCATTTTTGAACTTATTTATCAAATTATGACATTTTTTGAAAATAGAATAATGACCCTGTTTTTTGTAAAAAACAGAGTCACTAAAATGCAAAAGAAAAATAGGAACAGATAAAAAATGTTTACTAAACACGGTTTTGAAGATTTTTATGGAAAGTGTGTCTGTTTTCAGACAAAAATGCCAACAGACAGCACAGCACAATAGAACAGCCATCTGACTACTTTTGAAAACCCATGATTTCTCGCTCCTGTCTTTTTCTCTCTCTCACTAAACGTGCTTTTTCCAGACCATTTGTTTTTTACGAAGTGATGATGTCCATGATTATCTCTCTCAAAAGCGTGGCTGCCCTCTCTCACAATTGTAACAACTAGAAGTGCTGCAACCTGTGAAAAGCGTGGTTAGTAACCACGCCTTTTAAAAGGTGGGATTCGGCTCCTCGGGAGGAACAGCACCCTTGTTCACCAAAATGGCACCGTTTGGTGCCTTTTTTGAAAAAACCAATCAGACCCGAAAACGGTACCATTTGGTTTTTCTTTGCTGGGTCCCAAAAGAAAACATTTGCACCCATTGTAACGGCACCGTTTGGTTTTTCTTTTTTAGTCCCAAAAGAAAACTTTTGGCGCCATTGCTGGCTCACTCCACCAAAAACGGATCACTGGTTTTGCGATTCTTGGTTCACAACTGGAACACCAAGAAACGAATCAAGATTTGTTTATTCAGTTTTGCGATTTGTCTCCTACGTTCATTTTGGGTATTCGTATGTCCATTTCAAATATTTTTAAATGGATATATGTATAGACATACACGCGCGCGCGCGCACACACACACACATATATATATGAATATACATACACACCCATACATTTACATTTTTATTAGTTGAATTTTTCTTGACCTAAATTTAAATTTTAAAATTTTGAAGCTTGTTTTAGTGTTGATACAATAGTTAGTCCATTATTTTTTTTTTTTGCAGGTACTGATTGGTTTTTTAATGGAGTCTGTTGTGATTAATGAAATTGTGAACACTCCAAGTATTGGTATGCAATTTGACTCGGATGAAGAGGCTTATGAGTTTTATTACAAATATGGAGGTTTGGTTGGATTTAGTGTGAGAAAAGACTATCACAATAAAAGTAAGAAAGACCATATCATAATTTATAGAAAGTATGTTTGTTGCTGAGAGACAAAGAGATGTGGATAAAAGGGATTGTAAAGTAATAAAGTCGCGAGCCGAGACATCAACCAAATGTCCGGCTCACATGTGCATATCCCTCAACCGGGAAATTGAGAAATTTATCGTGGTCTAATGGGAGGATGATCACAATCATCCATTGCACCTTAAGGAATGTATGCATATGATGTCATCCCAAAAGAAAGTTCCTACTGTGCAAGACATTCATGTTGACATGGTAGCAGATTGTGGAATATTACTTAAAAATTCATATAAACTTATGAGTACCCAGGCAGGTGGAAGGAATAATTTGGGGTTCACTCGGCAAGACCAAAAAAATTACATCTGTGATAGGAGGCAACGAGAGTTGAGATATGGTGAAACTGGTAGTTTGTTGAATTATTTTCGGTTAGAAGCGGTTAAAAATCCATGATTTTGGATGTTGAGGAATATATTATAATCATTTTTTGGGCTGACCCAAAAGTGATTATTGACTGTGGTCATTTTGGAGACGTTGTCTCATTTGACACATCATTCCGTACGAACAAGAATTATTGGCCTTTTGCATGCTTTGTTGGTATTAATCATTTTAGGAAAACTGTGATTTTTGGTGTTGTATTATTGTATGATGAAACGGCAACATCGTTTCAATGGTTATTTGAGACATTTTCACAAGCAATGTTTGGGAAGAAGCATATCACCATCTTCACTCACCAAGATCAAGCAATGGCTAAGGCAATAACCCAAGTGATGTCGGAGACTTATCACGGGCTATGTACTTGACACCTTTCCCACAATGCTTTAAAGCATCTTGGGAATATATACAAAGATGGTTCTAACTTTGTCACTAATTTGCAAAAATGCATCTACGAATATACGGAAGAGCATGAACTGTTTGAGACTTGAACTATTTTGCTTGATGATTATAATTTGTGGGATAATAAATGGATGAAGACAACTTGGACTATGAGGGAGAAATGAGCTAAGGTGTATATGAAGAGAACTTTCACAGCAGATATGAGGAGTACCCAGCTTAGTGAGAGTTTGAATGCAAAATTGCAAAAGTACTTAAAGTCAGATCATGATATTGTTCAATTCTTTACTTACTTTGATAGAATTATAAATGATAAGAGATGTGCGGAGTTGGAGGAAGAGTACCATGCTAAGCAAAAGTTGCCAATAATGAAGTTCAAAAAAGCTCCTATGTTGGTACAAGTTGGACAATGTTACACTCCTCCTGTGTTTGATTTATTTCATGACGAGTATGATACATTCCAATGTGTTGTTGTGAAGTCATGCAATACTATGGAGCAACAACATCAATTTGTTGTTAAATTGTTTGGAAAAGAGAGGGAGTATTTGGTGTGGATAAATGATACTTAACAACTTACTAGTTGTGGTTGTTAGAAGTTTGAAATGGTTGGAATATTATGTAGTCATGCACTTAAAGTGTTTGACACAATGAATACTAAGCAAATTCCTGAAGGCTACATAATATAGAGATGGAGGCGAGATGCAAGGAATATTCATACACCAGATTATAGTGTATCAAATGTGGAGGATCCTAAGTTGGTGGCAGCATCTCGTTATAAGCAACTATGTCCTACAATGGTACAATTAGCAGCTCATTGCTCTGATCTTGGACCTGCACATCAGTTGGTGACTCGAGTCGTTCATAGTTTGTTTGAACAAGTGGAAAAAATGTTTGCATCACATATTGATGAAGGTAGTGCTTCATTCGAAAGTACATGTGTGGATAATGAAGGAATTGAGAATGTGGACCCTAACATTTTACGAGTGAAAGATATAAAAAGGAAGGATGGTGGTTACAAAGGTTGGGGTTGACTTAAGCCATGGCATGAAAAGCCATCTAAGAGGAAGAAAGTAGTTACACAACATTCTAATATGTCCAAGGTATGACACATCGAACATTGAATATTTTTTATATTTACTTAACATACGATAATATTGATTTGAGAATTATTTGTCATTAAGGTACCCTCATCTTCACAACCAATATGTCCACAACTATTATCTTCATAACCAGTATGTCCACAACCATTATCTACACAACTAGTATGTTCACAAGCATCCAATACTCAGGTATGTTAGTTTATTCATAAATTGATTACATTGATTTTAATGTTATATTCTCATTGATCCATTCTAATTTATGTAGGGTATGTCATTTAATGCAACACAAATGCATCTTTTCGGTGCGGAATTCTCCTTCATGAACAAAAACTTCTATGATTTTTTGAAGGATATTTGAAAAGAAGAGGACAAAAGTTGTGTTTGTGCTGCCTTCCATGGTTGCAGGTGGGTGAGTTGTTGGTGCTGTTTTTTGGCTATTGCTTGATGCTGATGATTTTGTAATGTTGCTGCAGTGCTGGATGGTGCTTTAAATTGTTGTTCAAGTTTTGAAGTCCAGTTATGCTTTATCTTAACACTTTCTTTTTGAGCCTTTTGAAATGTGAAATTACAATATATTATTTTGCTATGGGGATGGTGAATCTCCTATTGTCTTGTTTTAGAAGATCAACCATCCGTTTGGAAACACCTGTGTACATGAACCCATAATGTGAGTTGATGTTTATGCATGTTGATGGTTGAATTTAAATTGTTTAACTATATTGAATCCATAAACAATCAACATGCAATGCCTCCATCATCCAACAAATGCCTACAATACCATCATCCAACATACAAATATTACACATATCATCCCTTCAATGCCACCATCATCCAACAACTGTTACACTAACAATCCAATAAATATAAGCATAACAACACCTTTCATAAAAAAAACCAGAAGAATTTTATTGAATAAATCTCAAAAATTACAAGAATCAAAAAACTGAAACTGAAAAGTCAGAAACTGCTTCTGTTTGAACAGAAAAAACAGAAAAAACTGTTACGGAATTCTGCTACAAGAACTAGACAACGCAGCTAAAAACACTCTTGTACAATTGCTGCATTTTCTGATCCTAGCTCAGTCTTTGGCCCTTTGATCAGAACTCAGCATCTTCCAACCAGCTGTAGTACTCTCAATGATGCAGAACTCAGTTATGTGCAGCTTTGACTATAACCAGCACTTGATACAGCTTCAGCTTCTGGCCCTTTGAATCACCATCTTTCTCATCCTTGCATTAGGTATT